AGCATAACCATAAACCAAGAGTGAATAAAGAGAACAGTCATTATAGTTCTGTAGTTCATGGCATAACCATAAACCTAGAGGGAATAAAGAGAACAGTCATTGTAGTTCCATAGTTCATAGCATAACCATAAACCAAGAGTGAATAAAGAGAACAGTCATTATAGTTCTGTAGTTCATGGCATAACCATAAACCTAGAGGGAATAAAGAGAACAGTCATTATAGTTCCGTAGTTCATGGCATAACCATAAACCTAGAGGGAATAAAGAGAACAGTCATTATAGTTCTGCAGTTCATGGCATAACCATAAACCTAGAGGGTATTAAGAGTGCAGTCATTATAATTCCAAATCCGTATAAGGTAGCATTTTCCTAAATTGAAAATGTATTTCCAATAATACTTACCTCCACTGACACTTTAGCTATTTCTCGATCTTCAAGATTTCTACCTCTTTGCTCATCTAAGCATTGAACTTCCTTGCTCCAGTCTTTTATACCCCACTTGAATGACCTTGGCAATATCTAATTTGAAAAGCTCTCCACCAACATCAATGTACCCTCTATCCAGGTAATGTATATAAGCACCCCATTCAGATAATGTAATCACTTTTTCAAGACTTACATCATTCCCAACACTAACACTGACTTAGTGGGGAGGAATGGTGGGAGAGTATCAGCGGAGGTAAGTGTTATTGGAAATACATTTTCAATTTAGGAAAATGTTAACTTCCAAAACATACTTACCATCTGCTGCCAATTTATCTAAAATGCAACATTGAGAAGGTGGAGAGGCTGGTGAGGGTATTATCCATACAGAAAACATCTGCATAGAACCTGGATGTGTCAAGATAAGAGTGGTACCCTAGTGGGGAACTGCACTATATCCAGAACAGGTATGTTCTTCACCCAGAACTCAATATCGATATCAACAGTGGAATAGTACATGAATAATTATCACAGGCCAGCCCCAACCAGATAGCTGAGGTTCCACAAGTTGGTGTTACAATTCAGGGGTCTTGGTCCCAAAATCCCATGTATTGGGTCCCAGCCTGTAGCTAAATAGCTAAAGTGGCAGCAGATGGTATGTTTTGGAAATTCAAAAATACTTTCAGAAAAAAAAAACGTCTATCACAAAAAACTCAACATTAATATTAAGCTTTCATCCTAAATATTTCCTTGGTATTACAATTATCACCTTATTTTGTAAGGTTATTAAACCCACTGCTTCTTAGTACACACATGTTACATTGATTACAGCATTTCATAATATCTCATTTCTAATACAAAACACAGGATACTAATTTCTAAATTTCTGACACTGCTAGAAAAATATAATGCTTATTTTAATACTCTACTAATACTCTACTTCTTATTGAACTATGGTTAACATCTCAGAACCAGTCAATGATTTTATAATTTGAAACAAGTAATTACACGAACAAGAAAGTTCTAAATATTCATTGGGACATAATAATTTCAACAAAATCTCACAACTGAATAAACAACTTACTGTCAACTGAAGAGGATGCTGGGTAAGGAACTGGATCAGCTGAATCCTGTCCCCAGCTGGACAAATACACTGAAACACAGAGAACTCTGTTAAAGTAGTTATTGAGAAAATGTTGTATCATACATCAACTGAAAACTTGTAATTCCAAAAATATGTATTTTTCTTAGTTTCATCAAACATAAATTTAAAAGTGTACCACAAGAGTTTCCAAAATAAAAAATTAGAATAAAATGGGACAATTTAAAAATTGACAATTATTACTTAAAAGTAATCACCACATATAGTAAATAATTATGATTGATATATTTTATTTTGTTTTCTTGACTGATGTGATCTGTTTTATATTTACTGAAATGTGCACATTATGAAGATATATATATGTGTCAACATTTCAGTTTCTTGACTGATGTGATCTGTTTTATATTTACTGAAATGTGCACATTATGAAGATATATATATGTGTCAACATTTCAGTTTCTTGACTGATGTGATCTGTTTTATATTTACTGAAATGTGCACATTATGAAGATATATATATATATATGTGTGTCAACATTTCAGTGAGAACAAATCACATCAATAAAACAAAATATAGGACGTACATTTCAGGACTTAGAGAATAAAGGTGTTTCACAATACTCTGTTATCTGTCAGTTGTCTCACCTCACATTGCAAGACTTTGTCACGTGGACTCTTGCTCTAATTCCATATCTCTGTACTTTTAACAACAAAGAAAGACAGTTACACTGGATTAATATGTACTCAACATTGCAGATTTAAGACTAGTTACCATGGTAAACCTGAAAGTTACAAAGTTGTTTCACGTGGTGTTTTGTAGACTACATTAAGAAGTAGCTAAAATATATGAATTTGTAGATTAAAACTAAAGTAATCGCATCAATGAGAAACACAAAGTTTTGAGTTATGGTTATTTTTTGTCAATGTGACAAAAAATAGAATATGCAGATTGTGAATGTCCTGAAAGGTAAGTTATCAACTGTAAAATACATTAATATTACATTTACATAGAATATGCAGATTGTGAATGTCCTGAAAGGTAAGTTACCAACTGTAAAATACATCAATATTACATTTACATAGAATATGCAGCTTGTAAATGTCCTGAAAGGTAAGTTATCAACTGTAAAATACATTAATATTATATTTACATAGAATATGCAGCTTGTGAATTCCTGAAAGGTAAGTTATCAACTGTAAAATACATTAATATTACATTTACATAGAATATGCAGATTGTGAATGTCCTGAAAGGTAAGTTACCAACTGTAAAATACATCAATATTACATTTACATAGAATATGCAGCTCATAAATGTCCTGAAAGGTAAGTTACCAACTGTAAAATGCATCAATATTATATTTACATAGAATATGCAGCTTGTGAATGTCCTGAAAGGTAAGTTATCAACTGTAAAAATACATTAATATTATATTTACATTTAGTGCAATATATTTCAAAGAAATGAACACTTTTGTTTAAAGGCTATTGCATCAAATAATCAATGATTGGATGTACAGGAGGGGATCCTTGTCATGGACAACAGAAAATAAGATTTATAAACAATTATCAATCAGCAGATAATGAGGTAGTTGTAAGTTGAATCCTGTTTTATAAAATATTTCCAAGTTGAGGATATCCTCAAGTCTGAAAGTTATCATTAATCAACCAATGAAATTTCTGGGATTCAAGATAATTAAAGAAAATCTCAAGGTCTGAGGAGCATCACAGAATTTCTTTCTAAAACCAATGCCATGACAATTTAAAAATAAAGTGATTTATAGTAATTAATCACATTCCTAGAAATACATTCCCTCCCTTAAACTACAGCTCTCCAATTAACGGTGATCTTCAAGGTATTAAATACAAATCTCTAATTAAACTGGAACAGAATAAGTAAACTAGAGGGTCGTTAAACTACATTATTCCCGAAAATAGCATTCTAAACGATCTTTTCCAGGGTAATGAAAAAAAAACTTTAATATAAGTTTAACATAACAACAAATGTACAACGTTTTGACAAGTACCTGATGATGACAAAACCTTGTCGAAACGTTGTATATTTGCTGTTATTTTAAACTTATATTAAAGTTTTTCTTCATTACCCATTAAAGCCGTCTTCAGCCATTAATATTCATTGTGAATGAAATATCCTATTAGAAATAAATAACCTTCATGAATTCAAGTAATAAATGTGAGTATGATGAATGGTTTCACATGATAATCAAACAGCAAACAGAAATTTTCAGTAATGATTCATTACTATTATAACAACAGTAGCTTAAAATTAAAACAATTTTTTTATTATATAAAATTTTCATATTGAAATTCAACAAATTGAAATTCATGTTTTCATATGTAAGATCAAGTTTTGTTTATTATTTAAGTAAAATAGTATTGTTTGCTTATATTTAACACATTATAACACTCTTATAAAAAATAAAACCACAAAAAAAAAACATTCATATTAGATTTAAGGACAACAAGAAACCTTTTGGTCCACGTAGGTCAGCATTTCTAACCTTTTTGATATCAAAGACCAGTTTGCTGCCTTTTTACACTGTTGTTGACCACTAAAATGCAAGTACAATGAAAATTATGATTTATGTATGAATATTCTTTCAGTTTCTGTTAGTTTTTGTGAAATTCCATGGACTGTAAGTTAGTTGTAACAGACTGATGGTGGAAAACATTGACCTAAGCTGTCCTATACACTAAACCTTATCATTCAAATATTTATCAAGTCTTCCCTTAAAGTCCCTTAAAGTTACTACTTCTGCCACATCTGAAGCCAAATCATTTAAAACAATGGTATATTAGTTGAAAACGACTCCTACCTGCCAAAATTTATAGTTCTACTATTCTCACCGTTAAGTACAAAAAAGATGGTGTATTAGTTGAAAACGACTCCTACCTGCCAAAATTTATAGTTCTACTATTCTCACCGTTAAGTACAAAAAAGATGGTGTATTGACACTGTCAACTCCCTTAACAAGAAACACTTCAAACTCTACAATTTTGTACATGATGCGTGACATGCATTAAGGACATGGTATCATACATACAAACATTGACACAACGTGTTAAATTAAAATGATAACATATAAAATTTTGGAAACTCAGTTAGTATTTATATTTTGTATTAAGTTGAAAAACTAAAAACAAAGAATGTAAACAAGTCTTGTCTCCATAAAATTCTACAAGAAATTTAAACAGAAAGCAATCAGGGCCAATTAAATATTTTACTAAAAGCAGAACACTTGAGCAATTATCACTAAACAAAATGTCATATTAGTGTTATTACAGTTTTTGTTTATTTTTTAGTTACCTTTGAAAGCCGCTGCCCTTCCAAATTTACTTCTGCTAGAGCAGAACACAGAAGTGGTAATATTATCAGAGGAACAACAAATTGTACAATATCGTACGCTGTTGCGGCATTATTCACCCAATACACTAGATATACACAACACCAGAATACAACCAAGCTGATGTAACTGGCAAGCCATCGCTGAAATGCTGATGACAGGAACCTTAACCGACACTGAAAAAAACATGCATGTGTAAAAATTAAATACAGTTTATATAATTAATCAGAAAATGTATATTTATATTACACAGTACTATCATTATTTGTGTAAAACTGTCAACAGTTCAAATGTAGTAACTGTACATACGTAAAGTATCCATAGAGAGAATATTTTCAAAAATCATATAAAACATTATTGGATAAATAGTTTCATCTTGAGTTTAATTACTGATTATAAGTAACAATCCAATATTCTTGGATACAGTTATGAAAAATATCTAATAAACAAAAACCCTTTTGAGAAAATAATGCTCTCATTGATATTAATATCAACTTCTCATCAATCAAACCTTCTTAAGAATATGCAGTCAGATGTCAAACCTTCTTAAGAAAATGCAGTCAGATGTAAAACCTTTTTAAGAAAATGCAGTCAGATGTCAAACCTTCTTAAGAATATGCAGTCAGATATCAAACCTTTTTAAGAAAATGCAGTCAGATGTAAAACCTTTTTAAGAAAATGCAGTCAGATGTCAAACCTTCTTAAGAATATGCAGTCAGATATCAAACCTTTTTAAGAAAATGCAGTCAGATGCCAAACCTTCTTAAGAATATGCAGTCAGATGTCAAACCTTCTTAAGAATATGCAGTCAGATGTCAAACCTTCTTAAATTTATCAACTCAGATATTAAATCTTCATAAGAAAGACATCAAAGGTAAAATCAACAATGTGATAGCACACAGACAAGTTTTCATTTAAAATTCCTAAGACAGGTATGCACAATATGATGCTCCATGAAAAGATTCTGAGCAGCAACATACACTTGTAAAAGTAACACATATAAGATCAATCAAAATAAGCCAATAGATAAATAGCAGGTTATGAAAGAAAAAAAAAACTTCTTGTTTTTCCTTAAAACCTCGACAAGTTATCTCACCAAATATGCAGAAAATAGGGTACACTGTACGTCCATCCAAATAGGAAACAAACAACCAAGTAGAAGAGGACATATATATCTATTTAGCAAGATCTGAGAGAGGTTGTGTGAAAATTCTGAAACCTACGGCCACACCAAAAGCTATCATTCAAAACTTACAACAGGATTGATGCTAACAAAACTCAAACACACTCAGAAAATAAAATAGACACAATTAGCTATCAAACACAAAAGAATATATAACTTTGTATAGATTGGAAGAATCATTACGCATTAAATTACTTTGGTTTTAAATATCACCGCTATCAAACTACATACATTTTTTCTTCAGTTACAAAAATATTTATTAAATTATTTTGTGTACGAGCATAAAATCATTACCCTTCATTCACAATTTTCAAGAAAATAAAGCAAAATCCTTATAACAAATAATGGCCAACAGACTGAGGGGTTGTTCTTTTATCAACTTAACAAAGTTGTGAGGCTAATTTATAAATCAGAAGATATGTATTGTACAACCAAGCCAACAGAAAAATTACCAATTTCCTTCACGTTGCATATTTTGTTATTAAATATTTAACATTATAACAAAGATAGTTAAACACATCATAATTTTTGCTACATACAAGGAGTTAGATTTGTGTGAAATACACATAAATATTTAGAAATATGGATTTTTGGAACCGTGAAAAAGGAACAGAAAAAGAAAACTTACAGAAATTTTCCAATAACCACGTAGAATATCTTCTGGACATAAATAGGTCTTTTCATTACTTGGAGATGTGTCAGCTTCAAGAAATGTTTCCATTTCATGGCTTGAAGAAGGGAATGGTTTCTAAAAATAAACATAAATTTTTGTACTTTTACAAGAAAAACAAGCAAACAACTTGAAATCCATCTTTACCAGAGAGGATTTTGCTAATGTCCTTGGAATAGTGTAAGGGATCATACTATTTCTACATTGCATGATTTATTTGTTCATCTCAGATTTTCATACACACAAAAAGACTAACTACATACAGTTGACCCTGCACATAGCTACCCCTAATTTTGAACACGAGGAAAGACATCTATTCAACAGAATCAACAGCCAATTACTGGGTTACTCTTGGCTGATTAAATTGTGTGGTTTGAATGTTACTCTTATAATACATCTATAGCCCTAGTGTGAGGGGAATATTTTTGTGATAAAGAGTTGCAAACCGTAAATCCTTGTTATCGAGACTGGGAGAATCTTGAGAAAGGTAAATAATGAACAATATATATATTAGCAGTGTTACTTACATAGATGGAAGGTTAACATTTTCCTAAATTGAAAATGTTTTTCCAATAATACTCACCTCTACTAACACTTATAGCTATTACTTGACCTCCAGGGTTTCTTCTTTTGCTCATCTAAGCATTAGTCTGATTTTTTTCTCGCTTGCTCCAGTCTGTTATACCCCACTCAATTGCCCTTGGCAATATTTATCTTGTGATACTCTCCACTAATGTCAATACGCCCTCTATCCTGGTTCTGTATATAAGTACCTCATTAAGATAATGTTATCACTTTTTCGAGATTGACGCAATCTCTAATACTGACTCTTAGTGGGGAGATAGGGTGGGATGAGGTAAGTATTATTGGAAATACATTTTCAATTTAGAAAAATGTTAACTTCCAAAACACACTTACCTCCTCTGACACTCATAATCCCACATTGAGAAGGTGGAGGGTCTGGAGAGAGCATTATCCATACAGAAAGTATCTGCATAGATCATGAGTGCATCAATAGAAGACTGGCACCCTAGTGGGGAAACTGCAGTACATCCAGACCATAATTCATGTACTGTGGGTAGAATTTTACATGATTTATCATCACTATTGGCCAGGCCCCAACCAGATAGCCGAGGTTCCACTACTCGGGATTGGGATTGAACTGATGTAATTCGAGACTCCAATGACAACCAAGAGAAAAGTAGAGACTGAAAATTGAACCAACGTGCATGCTAACAATAGATTCAGCTCATAAACAATGAAATTGGTGATCCTGAGAGTCTTCTAACAAAGTAAAGTGAAAGGAAACAAAATGTGGAATTTTAGAGTTGTAAGTCCGTAAATTTACTCTGTCCCATCAGGGGGCACTGAACTACTCAGGTGAACTACGAACTCCACAAGCATTACCGGCTGACACAAGTAAAAGATTAGTTAAACACTTCTACAAGCATTACTGGATGACATAAATAAGAGATTAATTAAACATTTCCACAAGCATTACCGGATGACATAAATAAGAGATTAATTAAACATTTCCACAAGCATTACCGGATG